TTTTTTTAAATTATGGCCTAGCCTGCCTGCAATAAGGCAGGTCAACTTGGCAAAGTGTTCTTTGGTTCTGGGCTCTTGATTATCCAACCCTGTGGACCTACTAGACCACAGTAGACCTGTGTTGCCTGCATTATGTTTCCATAGAAGCAGGTTTATAGGAGGGGATAATTGCTACTGCATTTCCTTCAATTTGGAGTCAGGATGTGACTGTGGTGTACCTATTTATCCAAGAGCTGTTAAACATGCTTGTCATACTGTTTGAACACAGCCAGCATGAATCACTGACAGGACCAAAACTTGAGCCTCCCAGGCTTGCTTGCTCATGGTACCGCAATTCTGAAGTAGCAAGTGCAGTCTTGGCTACTGGCAGGAAAAAGTCATGGAGATTGCTGATAGACCTTGGAATTGAGCTCATATCAGTTTGTCTGGGCATTTTACTGGAGCTGTTCTGAAGACTGCAGTTTATCATGGTCTGTCATGCTTTGCTTCTCTGAGCACCAGGGAGATCACTAACTATATGAGTTTTGGCATGTGTAGAGCATACAAGAAGTGAAATGGCCAACCACCTCTTTGTGGCAATGGTCTGTTTTGCCAAATATAATTTTACACGTGCGAAGGGGCCAGTAGCTAGATTTGCAGGCAACCAAAACATGTATTTAACAGTTGGTTTACTTGCAAATGCCAAACCAGAAACAGTTGCGTAAAGTCCCTTTCTAAGGAGTTGTTTTAGATTTGGTGGGGTTTTCTGTTTGGGCCTTTTTTTTTTTTTTTTTTTTAAGTTAGACTTGTTGGTAAGTAATGTTGAGTCTTTGCCTCAAAGTTCATCTTCTATTGCAGGGAACTTTGTAGTGAAGATTTTTAGACCTCTGCATTTGAGTGAATCAATTTATTGAGCAAGAGGGAGATGGAGAAGGTATTTGCAAAAGGTGCAGAGATCAGAATCTTTGGTGCAAAAAATACTTGTAGTATTGGGCAAATGTAGCACATAATGTTTCCCTACTCTGTTCTGCCAAAGGGCTTTAGTCTTGGTCTGAAAATCACTAATTTCTTGTTCCCAACTAGTTGCCCCTACTAGATTTTCAAAAGATGATACTAAATGTGCCATATAAATTAAAAATCAGGATACAAACATGCATCTCAGAAATGCAACTAAATATTTTGTTCTGTCTGGGGTGTAGGGTGGGCTATGTAATGGTTCTGAGTAACGAAATCCTTTTGGCTGAACTGTTATCCAAATTGTTGATTAAAATTTTTTTAAGATAGAAATGTTTTGGTTGCTTGACTAATCTTTAGCTTAATACAGCCACATTTGTTTAATGGACTTAAGGCTTATAAATGTTTCACTTGTAAATGCTTGGATTTTTTGTGGAGTACCACACTAAAGAAATTGTAAACACTTTATAAATAATATTTGTCTTCCATGGTCCCTGTTTTATTTTGGGAAGCTAAAGTGCAACAAAGTTATTCATTTTACCGATTGCAAACATAAAAAGGAAACATGAGCTTGCAATTGACATGTAAAATATATTAAATTCTTTTATGGGGATCTGCATTTGCAGTAGTTATTGTTGCACTGCTGTGGGTCTTCTTTTTTTTTTCTTTTGCCTCGTGTGCTCATATCTATAGGTCAAACCTAGGGTATGTTTTCTTCAGGGAAGAAGTTACTGATGACTATTCCTGTCTGTGATGCAATGTTTTAAGTACTTACAGTTGGAGAGAAATTGTTTGAACAGGGCTGAAGCTGGGAACAAGTCAAGACTAGAAAACATAGGTCCTGTGGAGACGGGAATGGCAGATTTTATTTTAGCTTGTTCCAGTGAAATCAGTTTCTGAATTTATCTGTCAAGTTCCAGACGGAAATACTGTTACATTGTTTCCAGTCACAGGACCACCTTGAGTTTGGAGATTGGTAGTACTTCTGGTATAGTAAGCAAGTTCTTCTTGGTTGAATAATCTTTATGAGATGAAAGGAAAAATGTGTGTTATAGTTGCTGATTTAACATACCCTGTACATTAGACTTGCTTACAGTTTTGTGTACTGTAGAAAAAAATCCTTTTTTTTTTTCAGCTGGATTACAAGTTGTTCAGGAGTAGAGTGAATAAAGGAAACTCATGGCTTCACAATGCCGTATTTCTTTCCCTGCTCTTACCTTCGGGTGGGAAAGTGGGGTTGGAGAGACTGAGTGATGCTCCAGTGGGACTGATTTCAAGATAAGGAGTATCAAACCCACCAGATGGATTACCTGAGCATCTCATATTATGGGTGTGTTTGAAATCAGACCTTGTCATGACTTTTCTGTACACGCCCTACTGCATTCCTCAGTGTCTTTGTGTAAAACTGCTATGCCAGCCTACAAGCAGAGGGACCACACAGCTTGTCTGGTCACCACTGTGCCAACCTGCAAACCTTCCTGCTTAGGACAACTTACTTCCTTGGTCTGGTTTATAGCCCCATAATGAACATTCCAACTATCTGGGGGAAACTTTCTTGAAATAAGTGATAGGAAATTATTTCTCAGAGTCTGTCTTTTAATATTCAATTTCTGTTTGTTCAGATTTACCAAGTCTCCAGTGTTATTATTTTCATTGGATGGCTTCAGAGCAGAATATTTGCAGACTTGGGGTGGACTTCTACCTGTTATTAGCAAATTACGTGAGTAGTTTATTTGTCTAAGAAATATTATGATGTGTTACCTGAAAAATCCATAGATGCCACTATGCTTACTCTTTAAAATCCTTGCCCTAAATAACAACCATGCACAGAGGACTTGAGATGTGGCAGAGTGTAAGGGCAGAAAGAGAGAGGGCATGAGGAAAAGGCCCTTTGGATTTTTAGTGAAATCTTATAAATTATTAGGTAGCCCTGTTATATTTAGGAGGTGGATGTTTTTTGCTGAGAGCTTCCTTTATTTCTTCAAAATAGAAATAGTCCCTTTTTACTCTATAATGTATATCATCTCATATTTAGGTGGAATGGTTGGAAAATGGAAAGCAAGGTAGAAAGCATTTTGATTATATTTGAAAAAGAACACAGAGAAGGAAGAGATTAAGAACAGATGATATAGAAGGCCTAGTAGAAATTTGATGAATCCAAGAAAAAATTCATTTAACAAACATTTCTAGAAGAAGTGAGACACTCAGCAGTACATTTTTATTCCCTAACTTTTATAGTGTCTTAGTTTTGTAGGCCTAAGTAACTTTAGTTACTTTTCCTGTTTCTGTTTTGGCTGTGGTCTGTAAAGAACTGATGGTATTTCTTGTCTGAAAAATATGCCAATTTTCTTGACTTCATAAATTACTACCTGGGGTGCCTGGTTTCAGTTTGACTAAAAATAAGTCAGTAAAAATACTTGCTTTTTTATACAGTGGTTGTCACAACTTGATATGTTCCAGAAGATAACAATTTACAGATGTATTTGAGGGTGGTTTATTTTTTTTTTTTTTTACCTCATTTTGTTCCATGTTAGCATAAAATAAGACATTTGAAAAGTTCACTTTTTTTTATGACTGCATCTAATGAAAACTGGAGAAGTCTTCTTGGGCATTGCTAGGAGAAGCTGGCTATTAAAAATTATTATAGCTCTGCCCAAGAGACAAGTTAAGCAGTGCCACAAAGCATCTGTGGGACTTCCAGTCTGTGATATCCACTTCTGTGTGTAAAGTTTCTTCATTCTTTGGTCTGGATAGGCTACAGTGCAACTTCTCTCGTTGACTTCTATAGTAATCTTGTATTTTTCATGATAAATTCTGACCACTAAGAAAGACAAATATTTTACCATCTTCATCAAAGTCACTTCACTTCTCCAGAACTATAGTGTTTTTGATGAGTTTTAAAGGATTCTAATATCAGAATGCCTAATAATACATGTTTTATACACAATAAAATTAGGAATAGTCTGGGAGGAAATATTTCTGCATTACGTTTACAGTTCTAAATTACTCTGCAGCATTTTTTGGCAATATGCTAGAAGGCTTTTACGATAGAGTATACTACAGAATCTTCAGGTTTCTCCTTTTTCCCCTCATCGTAATGTGGTGGATGAAATGCTCAGATAAGGCAAATAATCTTCGGTAAGAGAAAAATAGTCTCATTAATGAAAATTGGTGTCACTGAGGTGTGAACCCAAGCGTAGCCTTACTGTGTCATATGGTGTTAAAAGAAGACATTTTCACATGCTTCTGTGTGATATTGCAAGTTTGAGATAAATCATCCTTTTGTCTTAAATTGTCTTTAACTAAGGCAACAAGCCAAAAAGAGTAAAGATAACCCTTATGGAAATTCCCAGCAAAAAACCCCTAGGATTTTTGGCAAAATTTTTCCAGGTGTGTTTTTCTCTTTTGAAAGAGACAAAACAAAAAATCAACCTCTCCACCCACCCCCAATAAAAAACTATGATTTTGGAAAACAACCTCAAAAACAAACTTAGAAACGGTTGAAATGTGTTAAGTGTGTTGCAGTAATAAAAAACATACAAGTGATGATTTGTTACTACAGAACTAAGTGTGGGAGGGGATGTCTATGTGACTTGAGAAGATTTATTTTTCTGGCTTGTCTTCTTTTTATGTTGATTAGCTCAAATTGATTATTTCAACTGAAATGTAATCCAAGCCTCAATTCAATGAGTTGAAGTGCCTTGATGCAACACATTTTGTTATTAAATCTTTCATTTCTATTTTATTTATGTTATATGTAATTACCCATAGTCATAGTGAAGGTGACGGTCCAGTGGTGTTTCTTCTGTAGGCTCATTACTTTTGCTTCTTTAGGTTCTGTTGAAGCAATTTGGGTTATCCCATGGCATTTTTTAAGTTGTTAATGAAGGCTTTTTCTTTTTCTTTTCTTTCTGAAAACTGAGGCCCATACATTTGCCCATGGAAATTTATACCCCTTAAATAAGGTTTTGGCCTGGCTAATGACTCTTCATACTAGCAAATACAGTACACTAATCTCTTTTAAATCATATGATTTTATATCAAGATAAAGAAAGCTTTGAATTTCATTCTAGAATAAGAGCTTATTTTTAAAATATAAAAACCCCACAAAAAAAGAAAAAGAGACTACAAAATAAGTAGTGATTTGACAGGTGACTGAGAGACCTAGGGCACCACTGTGCCAGTGACCACTTAATCTCTGGGAGCATTCAGGGTTAAAGTAGCTAGTTGGTCTCAAACTGCAGACTGCACTTACTGCATACCAGGACAACTTTGAAGGGTGTGATTTCTTTGATTATTCATTCTTATCTATGCATGCTTTTCACAAAGACTCTAGGTTTTTCTCATGTGACCATTGCAGTCAGTGATTAGGAATATATAAAATTCGTGTTAATAGCTATTTAGTCAGCTTGTAAATGAACAAAGAATAAAAACTTTCTGTAAATATGTTTTTTGTTTGTTTGTTTTTTTGTTTTTAATAGGACTATGTATTCATGAGAGAAACTTGCAAGATTTTTATTTCTGTAATTTTGCTGATTTTCTTTCTTCCTCCCTCTAGAGAAATGTGGAACATACACTTCCAGTATGAGACCAGTGTACCCTTCCAAAACCTTTCCCAACCATTACTCCATTGTCACAGTAAGAATTCCTGTATATTATGTTTCCGCGGTGAAGAGATGGTTCACTATCAAGTTGTCTCCAAGGGAGTAGTATATTTTTGATGGATTATTAAAATAATAGTATTTCCCTTCAGAATAGGAAAATGTGTATATCATTATATAACACTACAGCTAAGTGGCCAGATCTAATGTAAGTAAATCAAATCCTTCTAAGGGTAGCTGTGAGAATTCCCATACAGTGAAACATTGCATGACTTTATAACTCCTCATTTGTGTAAATATTTCCACTAATTTGCAGCTCACTCTCTTGGAGTGGGAGCAGTCTGACTCCTTTATATTGCCAGCCTTATTCCACTTCTTTAAGGTAGTTTGGCATGATGCAAAGTAGAGTATGAAATGAGAGCTTTGAGCATCATACTGATGCTGACTCTGTGATGGACTGTACCCAAGACTGCATAGAAATGTCACAGCACTGATCTCGCAAATTTATCACCTCCTGCATATGGAAAGAAAAATGGAGGTTTTTAACACCAAACGCAGGGTTGGAATCAAGGAGATCCTTTTTAATTTCGTCATGCCAGAACTAAAATTCAATCAAATACTAGGATCTGCACTTCCTGTCTCGTCTCTCTAGTTTGTCTGGACGTTTGCTAAGTGAGGAGCACAGGTTCAGGAGTAAGATGCTTAATTGTGCAGTCCTTGAAAATATCCACGATTGAATATGCAACTAAGAGGCATTAAGCATGCTCTGCAGCCGTGTGAGGTGTACTGTACAGAACTTTGCCTCAACTCACCATTCTTGTGAAAAGTAGCAGGATGCTAATGGTGGTGGTGTTTTATCCTTTATAAATGTAAAAAGGAGCTAGTCTGCTTAAAGGCAGAGCACAAGGTCTCCTAAAACTACCCAAGAACTGGTGCTCCTGAGCACCTCCTTCCTTTCTCATGTAATGGGTATCCCAGCTAGAGCTTTTGCTCATGTGATGGAGATCCAGCATAGGTAATTGCTTTGTCTTTGATACTAAAGATACAGCAAATATGTGAGCTCATAAGGTGTCTTTCAATTTGTTCCCAGAAGAAATTGCTGGCCTATTTTTTTTCTTTTCATCTCACTCAGAAGCAATTAAGAATTGAAAGGTAGGGCTTGCAAACCGTGGAACACGATTGTGTAAAATTTAGGTCTTGAGGTACTAGTGGAGTAGAAGTCACATACAGAGTATTCCATGGATATACTTGTCTAGAAGACATGTTTGTGCATCCAGAAGGTTCTTTTTCTTTATAACATTGCAGTAAGGTATACTCTCAATTACAGGGGCTGTATCCTGAATCTCATGGTATAATTGATAACAAGATGTATGACCCAAACAGAAATGCATCCTTCACCCTTAAAAGTGAGGAGAAGTTTAATCCACAGTGGTACCAAGGGCAGCCTGTAAGTATTCATACTCTCCTGAGAATGATGTTGAAAGAGTACAGAGGGTACTTCTAAGTCAGCCAAGAAGTGTTACTCAGCATAATTACGAATTGCCATAGGAGAGCTCCAAAATAACAAATGAAACAAAATGTAACAGATTTTGTTGCACTTAAATGGACTTTTCCCTGAGGAGAATGATAGCTTAAAATAACTAATAGAGATACCAGATCTTGTCCTGTTTTTAATATGAGTGGGCTTGCACTTAACTTCTCTGAGGAAATCGACAGATCAGTTAGTTTTAGTAATAAGAATCTTTAATAAAGGTTTATGCTCTGAATAAATTACTACTAAGTCTAAAGACGTAGTTCTAAAAGAAATTATTTCGGTTCAGTCATACACCTATGCAAAACTGCTGAGACTCCCTTCAAAATGAAGTGGCATGGAAAAGTTTGGGTGAGTGCTAGCCTGAAGAATAGCAAGGGACCAGATGCAACTATTTACTAATGCAGGGAAGACTAGGTTGTTTGTGTGGGTGTTTTTTTGTTTGCTTGTTTGTTTTGTTTTTGTTTGGGTTTTTTTGGTGTGTGTTTTGGTTTTTGGTTTTTTTTTTTGTTTGTTTGTTTGTTTGTTTTTTTCTTATGGAAAGAACAAACTGGTGTAGACTTTGCAGGCTACTGAGAGTGATATGAATCAAGCTGAAAATATGCACAAGGCATAAATCTGTAAATCATGGGGATCAGCAGTAAAACCAGAACTGATGGAAGTGTTGCTTCCATATGTCAAGAGCACGTGGGATGTAGGTCCTTGGAATATTCACACCCCTTATTGTGTCACTGTTCTTGAGACATTTCACCTCCCTAGCGTTCAGCCATGGGTCTACCGTTTCATTTCTACTAAGGGTTCCTACTCTTGTCCTGACTCCGCCTGGTGTAGCAGCAGAAGGGATGTGAGTGTCTGCAAAAAGGAATCAGGCTACAAGGTGTATCTGGGCTGCAGATAGCGGTGACCTGCGAGATTGATTGGAGTGTTCCACTTAAAGTTTTAGGTTTAGGTCTTGCTGAAGGGTGCAAGGTTGGTGAGGGTGGCAGTGGGTCTGTCAGCTACTCAGCTAATTCAGTGACCTGCCCTAATGACAGCAAATGTTCTCCTGCAGATTTGGCTGACGGCTATGTACCAGGGTCTGGAAGCGGGTACCTTCTTTTGGCCTGGGTCAGACGTAGCAGTCAACGGAACATTTCCAAGCCTGTATAAAATATACAATAGGTATGTAAATGCCTGTGTCTTGGATGAATATTTGATTTTAACTTTTATAATGGGACAGATGCCAGAGAAAGCATAACTTTTTTTCCTGGTTTCTAAATAGTTGTATGCAACATGGAAAAGAAAGCTAAAATTCAGGTAATTTTGTTTCAGTATAGAGTCTTTGTCTAATAATCTTTTCATTTCTCAGCAAATGTTTTAAAGGTATTAATAAAAACTTTTTGTGGGTGTGTAGAGTATTTCAATCCAAACTGTTCATACAGTGAGTGGATCAGGTCTTGGTGGGACACTGTTCATGACCACTGAAGTTTTACTCTTGACTGTGATAAACTATTCCAATTTAAAATTATTTTAATTGCAAAATTTGAAAATATTGCACAGTAAGGCAGTCATATTTTAGTCAGTGATTGCTCTTCACTGCAATTGAATGTTTTCTGCTTTATGAAGAGATTTATCACCATTTAATAATCTCAAATCTTACCCAAGAAATCAGTCTTCTTATTTCTATCTTCCTATGATTGCTTTCTCTTTGTACACCCTTCATATAGGATGGAAAATTTGGTTCTTGTCTTACTACCTACATATTTTCCCTAGGAACTGGTACATTGTTACTTGAATTTGTGTTAAGTAGCTGAATACTAGTTTTATGGATGCCTCACATTGTTAAAGGTCTACTTTAGTAATTGATATAGAAGATCTACTTTGTGACATAATATGAGAACTTGTCTTCAACCTCTTTAAACATAAAAAAATCCCCAACCCTAGCCTTAAACCAAAGATTTTTCGTTAACATAATACAGGAATGGAAACCTACATATGACTTTGCCCCTCGAAGCCGATTATTCACTTTGTATAATAAACACAAGCAGTACTGAGAGGTTTACTCTAATTGTATTGCAATCAATGGGGACTATACTCAATGGAGCTTTAGATCAGACCGTAAACTCCTGTAGAGTCACAGGCAATTAGCATGGATAAATTTGCATCCTGTTAAATAGCACTTAATGAATTAATTTTTTTATTTTTTGCTAAAATACACTGACTTTTTGTAAGGTATGGCTGAAAGTTTTTAGCTCTTGGAAATACACGGTTGGTTGATACTGTATTATTCTAATACAGATCAATCCCCTTTGAAGAAAGAGTGATAACTGTTCTTCGCTGGCTGCAGTTACCTGAAGATGAAAGGTAGGTATACAATTGCAAGTGTAAGTTCCTGTTAGAGTGGAATATCTTATCCATTATTCTGATAATGTTAAAATATTATTTAATGCCTGTTTCTTTGACTGAAAGCTTTTTATTTGAAGTTGCATTTCTCTGTTTCACTTTAATATGTTTTTCGTCTGAATGACAGCATTCTTTCCAATATTTTATCTCCATTGTTGAAATATAATCTCTTCAAACTGTCTCAACATGTATGTAAAATATTACATTTTTGGTACTGTTTGATATAGACCACACTTTTACACTCTGTATTTAGAAGAACCAGATTCCTCGGGCCATAAATTTGGACCAGTAAGCAGCGGAGTAAGTAGTTTTGTAGTTTCTTAAATTTTTTTTTTTTTTTTAATTTGAAGCTTTTCTCTGACTCTATAATTTCCATACTTCAAGTTAAATAAACCAAGATTGTATGAAGTATGCTTATTAGGAAAAAAAATGGTGAATAGACAGCCCATCCATAATTAACACTGATTTAAAGTATATAATAAAATTAGACTTACTAAACAGACTGTTTATTTTCTTTATTTTGATGACTTTTAAATTACCAAAGCATGTTTGGGTATGTCTTGTATGTTGTTTTATCTGCTCCTACTAATGGTTTATGTTGATTTTTGATGGGAGGGAGGAATGGGGAAATAAAATTTGTAGATTTTCAACTTAGCAAGAACTGAGGGTTTCATAGCAATGTCTGTGTTTTGGTGGTTAGGTATTTCTGTTGTAATGGTCATTCATTTCCCCCAGTCTCTGTGCTAAGATTTAGATGAATATTGATCTTATTTCACTGCAGTTATATTTTATGCCTTTTCTGAAAGAGGCAGATAAAAGTAACATTCACCCCATCACTGTTTGTGATTTATTGTATAAATAAGAAGTCTTTGGGACTGCTACTGTTTTCAAAAGTATTAAATAGCTTTACTTTTTCACAAACCAAAGTGAAAAATGCAAATCAAAAAGCTCTTGGAAATTCAGGAACTTTGTAAAATTTTCTCATCTTGAATGGTGAGGAAGTTTGGGCATCATAACTAGGTATTTAACTTCAGTGGTGGCAAGAGTAAGAAGATATTGAAGAGTGGTTACTCTTCATGTAACAAAGTAGCAGACATAACTGGAATTGGACTATAGGGAAGGTGTTTTAATTGGCTATCTTTTCCTTTGGTTAATAAGGGGATTTAAAGTTCTGTATGTCAGGAATACTGTGGAGAGAAAGACCCTGAGGGTTTGTATATAGTCTCTACAATAGTATCTCATCTTTGTTTGCACAAAGCAAGACTGTTTATACAAGTAATGAGTTCAATGAGGTAACAGAATTACCTCATTTTAAAATACTTTTTTTTTGTACTTAGCAAGTATTCAAAAGTAGCTCCTGTGCTGTGCCTTTGCAAGTGAGCTTGGACACCAGACGCCTGGTCACAAATAGTGCTACACTGGTAGCTCATTCTTTGGCTTTTTCAGTTTTTTTAAACTAGTTTGAAAAGATGTTAGTCTGGGAGCACAGTTTCAAGGACAGTTTGCTCCGAGGTCTCTCCCAACAGGCATTTTGAGGAAGAGTGCTGCAGGCTTGGCTTCCTGTATTCTATTCAGTACATCAGATCTGCACCTGTTGTGCAGGCATTCCCTGTTGTCCTTGGTTGTGCTCCTTGTAATGCAACAAGCATCCTCCATTTCATACTTTTAAACCACTGTCACTGCATTTTTTTGTTGTTGTTGTTGTTTTTTCTGTTTTTCTTTTTAAGCATCTGCAACTGAAATAACACATAAAAATGTGTAGCTGTGTCATTGTATAGTGTGGGGTGCATGAAAAAATTGGATTAAGAGCTGTATAGGTAGATATAGCCAGTCTTCTGTAGATGGAGGCAACTCTGAACAGTGCAGGTGATAGGCGGTCTGCAGACTCTCATTTTTATTTAGCTGTATTTAACAGCATTTTAAACACTTACTTTACATTCCTATTTTTGTTCTGCAGGTCATTACGGCATTACAGAGAGTGGACAACATAGTAGGGATGCTGATGGATGGTCTAAAGCAAATGAACTTGCATAAATGCCTGAATATTATTTTTGTATCAGATCATGGTAAATTTGATTTTATGAAATATATCAGAACTTTTGAAGAACTGTTTTTATAAAGTAATATCCTGAGTTTATACTTGTATGTTTCTGACAAGATTAACAAAGCAACTAATACCTATAAAATATGTTTTATATTATTAAGATGGTATAAGAGATAAGCAGTATAAGTAAAAATTAGACTCTTCTATGAGAGGTGAAGAAATGGAGAATATAGGGGGGATTAAATAGTTTTCATATTTTACTTCTAATTCTTTTTGTGACTATTATCAGATGATAAAAGAAATAGGATAAAAAAAGTGAACTGTAAAAAGTAGATTTCATTTTATTCTTTTAACTACACTGCACAGCAACAGTTTGCAAATTGCTGAAGAAGCAAAAATATAAACCATATCTTCCTTTCAGTTATCAGTTCCTTCATTATTAGAAGGCTTTAAATACAAAACTTTGATTTATTTCTGCAATAGCTTTTATGTATATCTGGAATTCTTTCTACAAACTATGTATTTTACCAATTTTTTTTCTTCTACTTTTCCTGACAAACAAAATATAGGCACACTTTCATGCAGCACAAAAATGACGTGCAAAACTCATTGCCGCAGGGAATGATCCAAGCCAAGTATCTATACAGGTTTAAAAAATATTTATGAAGTTAATGGAAGGTAAACCTGTCAAAAATTATTAAAAATAAGAGTTCAAATGCAGTATGCAGCTTGAAGTCCGTTTTGGCTTCTGAAAACTTATAAAAGACACTGGGAGAAAGACCAGTCCATGATGCTGTGCTTATTGGGTATTTCTCTAGACATGTTACTGAACACTATTAGGTTGGATACTCAGCTAAATTAATATTTGGTCTGACCCTTGCTACTGTTCTTAGGCTTGTAAGATTTCTTTTCCCTTCAGAGGAGAAAAATTGTCTGTTTATTCAATTGGTGAGTCTTTCTCAGCTGAGGAAATAATTGATTGTGGTTTTCTGTGTGTAGTGTTTTTTTTCTTCTATACCCATCTTGGATCAGATGTCCTGAGATTGCTGATAAAGAGACCAGAGAAATTACATTTCTGACTTCTACAACTAAAGTTACCTGTCTCCATAGCAAGGCTACTCTACCTTGATATTCCCATTTTAAAATAAAATTTATTTCCCTTTACAGGGATGGAAGCAGGGAGTTGCAGAAAAACAGCATATCTGAACAGCTATCTAGACAATGTTCAAGATTTCATAGTTGTACCTGGTCCTGCAGCTCGCTTAAGACCTAATAATGTTCCAGATGAGTATTTCTCTTGTATGTAGTTGCTAAACTAACTTTTGTTATTTGGTTATGTGTTTTTTGTACTTTATAAATACAAACTCAAGCTCCATATATTCCATGAGTAAATGTGAGTGAATGCCAGCTAGGGAGAACCTGGGTAATGATGAAGAAGAAATACTGAGTAGTGCGCCTTTGTTTTTAAAGACCATTTGACTTTTCAAGTCTGAAAGTGTATTTGAATCCTACAGGTTGCTTTTATGAGCTGCCTCAGTGACCAACTGCAAATACGTCCTGCCTTGTGAATGCCATTCCTTTGAATAAGATCATTGGTTCTCAAGGCAGTCCAAAAATCCCCCCCTCACATCTCACCTCATTTGCTGCTTTGCTCTTGTGTGTATAAATTTGCATTTTTTCTTTCGTAAAGGAATATTAGATTGTTACCATAATTTACACATTATTTTGAGTATTATGTTTCATAGTTATAAAAAAATGTCCTAATGGCCTTGACAGCAGTTGAGTAAACTGCAAATAAACATAAATGAGATGATAAAACGGAGTGACAATCAATGAATGCTTACAAATTTTAAACTTTGATTAGTTAAGCAGTCTCATTTTAGATTATTATTTAATGCCTGCAATTTTTGGTACTTACGAATTTCAAATGCAAGTTTCCTTTATGTTTTTTGTGTGTTTCTTTTTTTTCTGTCTAGATTATTGTTCTCTGTCCTCTTTAAAACTTGTAGGCCTCAAACCCAGTGATTTTAAGTCCTGTTTACTTCACTGCTTGATGCTATTCTAAAATTCTTTAAATGTTTATTCAGAGAATGTGGGAATCAAATGCTTACCTCTTGCTTTGGACATGTGCACTGTTTTAATGAAGTAGCATAGCTGTCTTTGCAGCACTGCATGTATCTGTGCAGGAATTATGAATGGTTTTCTTGCCAGGGTAATCCTCTATGTACTTTAGTCAAGTATTGGGTACCGGACTCAGGACGGGGTAACTGAGTGAAATGTAGTGGGCCTGTGTTATACAAAATGTCAAACTACATGATGGAATGGTCTCTTTTGGCTTGAGTGTAAGCATCTGAATCTTAGCCAGCTTGCATTTGGCTGTCTTTATAAGGATGCTTGCCAGATGAAACTGCTGTCCTGATAGTTGCATTTGTTTCTTTTTCTTTATTAGCAAGTTTATTAGCAAGTAGGAAAAATCCATCTTGATTAACACAGCATTTATTTGCCTCTTTTGTGCGAACTTAGATTATTCTTCTAATATTCTGTGGCTAATAGAGTTTAACATTTACATATAGTTTAACATGTAGCTGATAGTATTAACTAAAGTTTAACTAATATAGTTTAACATTTGAAGCTGTAAATAAGTAAGCAAAGAGAAGAGAGGCTGAACTAAAATTTCATAAAAGCAATACATTGACAGTTTAGTGATTATTTTGTTCTATATGGTTTTCATTCTGAAAAAATAGTTTCTTATGCCCAGGAATTTTTTGAAATTAAGCCAGTTATATTATGTGATGGGAATGCTTTCATTTTACATCTGGTTTCTTTTTGACTTAGGTGACTAATATTTACATATGATTCTTCCAGTTAATTATGAAGGGATTGTCAGAAACCTCACGGTAGGTATTGTCTTATCTGTTGTTCTAGCTTAATTTCTATTGACATTTACAGGTATTTTATAGTGTCAGCTGTTTTGTGGGCTACTTTCATAGCATCTGGACTTTGACAGGAAGAGAGGTCATAGTCTTAAGCTGCACCAGGGGAAGCTTCATTTGGACATTTGGAAGAATTTCTTTACAGAAAGGTTGACTAGACATGGGATGGACTGCACAGGGAGGTAGTGAATTCACTGTCCCTGGAGGTCTTTAAAGGAAAGACTGGACATGGCACTTAGTGCCGTGGTCTAGTTGACATGGTGGTGTTCAGTCATAGGTTGGACTCAATGACCTCAGAGGTCTTTTCCAACCTAATTGATTCTCTGTGTGTGACCTTCCATTAGAACAACAGGAGAAGTAGTTCCACATGTGGAAGGATCAAAATTGACCAAGGTGACATTGCTCTTGGGTTGTGCATTAACTAAGGCTTTTTGTTAGTTTCTTTTCACTAACTGTATCATGTTTCTCTTCAAACCGGAGAAATTGTGTATCTGGAATGTACTACCTGAGGGCTAAGTCAGGATAAAGTTCAGCTCTACTGTTAAGACACACATGAGATTTTCTTGCTCATGCCTTTTTGATAAACAGCTTTGAGATAGGCTATTGAATTTATTGTCACTTACAGCTTAGTGAATTGCTTTTTTACTCTATCCCTGCTGTTGTTGAGAGCTATGCTGTTTGTATAGATGACTTCACTGTTCAAAAATTCCAGTGTTACAGTAGGGGTTTTGTTTTGGTTTTGTGTTGTGTGTGGTTTTGTTTTATTTTTTTTTTTAATGTCATTAATGCATCTTAGTTCATGGAAAAATCTTTTTGTCCCTGAGTGACTTGTCCTGTGCAGGGCTAAGAGTTGGATGCGATGATCCTTTGTGGGTCCCTTTCAATTCAGAATCACCCTTCTGTGATTCTGTGAATCTAAAAACCATTTGAATGTTTACTACCTTCTCTAGTACAGACGAGTAGAATTATGGCACTGGGTAGTCTCCTACTACTTGTGAAAGTATCATGATGTTTGTCTTACTATAATTTTTTATTAATTCTAAACACTACTGTTGAGTTTCCTACGATTGTAGGTTGTAAGAAAAAAAAAAAAAAGTTATGTCCATAATCCAATATTAAATATTCTTCTACTAACTGTTGAATCCAAAACCAGTCAGTATTTAAGTATTCATTCATATTTGTGTTGCAGACTGTATGACTCCAAACCTGATGGGGTCATACTGTTCTTAGTGCAAGTTATTGCAGACCCTTTGCAATTGATATACTATATGAGAACTGTGCATGACATAAGTAAATTTTGGTGAAATGTACACTTTATGTTTTTAATGTCAACATTTCAGTGCATAGGACCAAATCAACCTTTCAAAGCTTATATGAAACAGCTGCTACCCAAGCGTTTCCATTATTCCTATAATGACCGGATTGAACCTCTGCACTTCTACTTAGACTCCCAATGGCAGCTTGCTCGGTGAGTTACAGTTTTCATTATACAACAAATAACTTCTTGTTTTCTCATGGCTTTGTTCTTCCAGATGCTGAGAGTTCAGTGATATCTACTGGAGTGTGATATTGCTGTTTCTCACAGCAGAGAGACATTGCAAAGAAACAGTGCATGCTTTTCTCTACAGGTTTTGCTGGCCTGGGGAGTCTAATTCTAAACTGGCAGCTATGGATATTCTCCCTGCTGGGTATGGAGGTAGTGGCAGGTTAGAAACTAAGGCCCTCATTGTCAGATACTTGAGCACATCTTGTTGTGCTTTAGGAATTTCCAAAGTGAGTCCATGAAATCAAAGTGTGTAAGTAGTTACTTAGCTGAATCAGTCTTGTCAGTCGTTGAACTTACTGACTCCACTATTGTTAATTGTTAATCAGTTGTTTTGATGAAAGAATTTACAACTCCCAGAATAGTGGTATCTGCTGTAATATAATTTTGAACACCTCTGTGATGATTCAGGGCTTTCATCATGGAAGAATTTTTCAGTCCATGTCTTCAGTAAGTCATGTTGTATAGCACCATAGGTGTGTGCAAGTTGTGCAGATGAGGTTTGGGTTACTAGAACTGTATGTGTTTAAATAATATATATATACCTAGCATAGGTTGGAGGTTTGTTTTTATTAGACTGTAAGATGCCCGAGTGAATGGTCTAAATTACATTAGAGATTTTATTAAAAAAAACTATTAAGAATCACTTACATAAAGTAAAGTTCTGTTACTCAAATAACTGTGAAAATCTATTATCCTGAGAACAAATATTCAAATATTTTGTTCATATGTCATGTGGTGTTTGACTTTAAATGATTCTGATGGACACATGAGAATTCCCAAGGGATAACATTTTCAGAGAAAACTACCATTCGGATTTTAAAGACATTGTCTTCCAGAGCTTTAAAGACTTCTTATTCCCTATGGACAATCCTCTAAAAATTTTTAAATAGAGAAGTAAACATGTCATTGTTGAATGTGTTTTAGACCAATATGATTTATAAAGTGTGAGTTACATAAATTGTGTATTTTTAATAGAAAACCACTTGAGATTAAAAGCTGCACAGGTGGATTCCATGGCTCAGACAATCGCTTCCCCAATATGCAGGTGAGATTTAAATTTGTGTTAGCTCTTATTTTTTCGCTCCTATTTCCAAGTGTTGTGTTTACTGGGTGTTGGGATTATTTTTTCAAAGATTTGTGATATTATTCCATCTGTAATTAAAGAAATCAAGCAGGTATAGGATTGACATTGCTAGGTAACCTCCATAAGGCTGGATTCAGTTGTTGTAAGAATTGGTCAAAAACCCAACAGGATTTACCCCAGAGATCTTGCCGTGCTAGTAGGGCTATAAAGGTATGACAAGTTGTTTTGTTGAAACATTAAAAGCAGGAAAAGAAACTTATCAAATCATCAAATACAATAATTGTGGATCTTAGGAGAATTCAGATTGTAAGGGAGCTCAGGAGGTCCCTAGTCCTACCTCCAACTCAAAACAGTCAGCTCTGAGATTAGACCAGGTTACTCAGGGCTTTATGAAGCTGTGTCTTTGAAGCTACCAAGGGCAGAGGCTCCACAGCTTCTAATCAACACATTCCACTGCCTAACTGTCCTCCTGGTGTAAATGTGTTTTGTTGTAGCTATCCAGAACCTTTCTTGTTTCAGTTTGCCTGTCGACTCTCTGCCCCTTACTGAGTAGCACTGAAGAGCACGGCTCTATCTCTTCATTGGCCTTGTTGTATGTACTGGAAGACTGCTGCTGGGTCTGCCTGAAGCAGTCTCTTCTCTGTCCTGATCAAGCCCTGTTCCTCTTTGTGAGGCAAGGACTTCAGCCCCCAGCCACCTTGGGGGTCCTCCCCTGAATTTACAGTGATTGTTTGTTGATGTCATTCTTATATTGAAGGTCCAGTAACCTGATGTAGTCTAAAGAAATGCTGTGCAGAAAGGGATAATCCCTTTCCTCAACCTGCTGGCTCAGCTTCTGTTTGTACAGTGCAGGATGCTCTGCTGCCAAGGTGTGCTGCTGGCTCAGATTTGCCTTGCTGTCCACTCTGTCACCCAGGCCCTTGGAAAGGAAGTTGTTGCTTAGCCAGCCAGTTTCCTGGTCTGTAAACCTAGTTCATCTGACTGATGATGACAGACTAGAAAACTTTCTTTCAAAACAATAATGAGTACATTAATTTGCCCTGGAAGTCTGTGGAACTTCTACGACACTACTTAAAAACTGGTCAGATGAGCATCTTTCAGAAACAACATAATTACTTTTGATTTTGGCTCTTAAAAAGTTGACTAAGTTATCTTCCAACTCTGTAATTCTACTCTGTCATGATAGATTATGTATTACTGTTTTGAGGTAGTCTGTTGAGGAGAAAGCATGTCAGTCATGTATAAAATAAGGAAACTCCTGAAATTCTTCTCTTTAATGAGAAGTGGGAAGAAATCATAGGAAAATATGAAATTGAATTCTTAATCAGTTTCATCAAATTTGGAGAAGTCGCTTAACGTATCCCTGGTTTGGTTTCTGCTATCAATAAAGTGAAAGGCAATACTCCTGATTTCAGAAAGCTATTTGCAGGATAGAATTCACAAACAGTTGTGAGGTACTTTGAATTATTACAGTGAATATGTGTAAACATATCTGTAGAGAGAAAATTGTTGAAAACAGGTTTTATGAAAAGACCTACATAGTCCATGTAACACAGATTTCTCTTAAAAACCTTTTTTTCCTGTGTTGTAAATGATACGGTGTTGGCATCAAACTGTTTTTAAAAAACAGCCATAAAACATGTTAGCCAAAAGCGTATGTTAATTTTGTATCTGTTTACCCTTCCAGGCCTATTAATTTTCCCTAATTTGACAATGGAAAACCTATTGATAGTGCATCTAGTAATGGGTTTCAACCAGCAAGGCCATGTGATGCCTAATGAGAGTTTCGCATATTGTCTCTCTGATACAGTTTAACTGTGTGAATTTTTTTCAGTATGTTTATTTGAACATTTTGCCACACTTGGATTGTCAGTTCATAGCATCCCTAACAGGTCTTAAAACAGATATAATTTATCCTTATTGTGGCTAACATTATAGCAGCAGAGATTTCATACTCTGTAACTACCAAAATCAAGAGAAAGGAGGTAGCATGTCCCTGCCTCATCTGGTTCAAATTAGGCTTGTTGAGTAAATTATTAGCCTACAGGTTTTAATATTAATAGTTGCAGAATGACACCCTGTGTTATGCTTTAATCTTGAAAAAGGCTGGTAGAGTTGAGTTTTTAACTTTTGTGAAATCTGAGACAATTGCATTTTTTGCAAAAAGCTTGGAGATCTTACCCAGGGAGATGCTATAAAGTGTAAAGCTCATTCAGTATCTTGATACCACTGATGGGTACAATCTGTTTCATTTCATTAAAAAATAAGCTGAATATCTCAGGATAAGTTTTAAAACAATATTTTTGGCAGCAGTTGAGTTTAGGCATTTGTTGCCCTTCCCTCCTTGTTCTTATTCATGCAGCAAACCCTGCTGTATGCTGGTGTATGGTGTAAGCTTTGGATGGCTGCAGCGTCAAATAGGCTGGGGAATTGAACCAGAAGGAAAAGAGCCAGCAGGAAAAAAAGCAGAAAAGTTTTTGAGCTGGCTGTGTTCCTGGATCAGGTCCAGTACAGCTCAGGAAATGGTGCAAGAAGAATGAACAGCTGCAAACCAGGCATAGAAACCTATGACCTTTTCATTGCTTAAACCACTTAAAACATTGCTACCAACAGATGTTTTTATAGCCTTAAGTTAAAAGCTTCCAAATTGTTTACAGGACATGAAATGTGATGGTTATTTTGGATCAACATTTCCATTAAATCTCTTAAAGTATTGAAGAAAATGACTAACTTCTTCAAAAGCAGAGAAGAGCAAGGGACTTTATAAATGGCTAAAGGCAATGAGACAGTATTTGATTTCCTAATACTCTTTTACTACTTTTAAAAATTATTCTTACACATCTACTTTTTTTAAAAGAAAAACTCATGCTTTTGACTTGATCCAACTTATGTTGGTAAAGAAAAGATTAAGTTCTTGGAAGAAAATGCTCTCTGAATATGAAGATACTTTCAACTTGTCTTAAACTGAATTCCACTATACTTTTCTCTGTAAATCCTAGGCTATCTTTATTGGTTTTGGACCAGGATTCAAGTTTCGTACTCAAGTTGATCCATTTGAAAACATTGAAGTATATAATTTATTGTGTGGTAAGTACAATTTGATGAGGGTCATTTTTGTTCAGTAAAATGTGATACCTTTTGGGCATTGTAAATCTTTTAGTAACAGATTTTTAAGTGTCCCTAGAAACTCATCCTTAAGACTTGCTGCTGATTTTCACAAATAAAAAGCTGTTGTTTTTCTGAGAAAGGTCTATCTCTAAATGACTAACAGCAGTTTAGGATCTCCTGATCAGGCCACCTTGTATGCCTCTTTTCCACTGATCTGTGTATTCCTCTGGCTGCTCCAGAGCTGACACTTCGACTCACCGCTACTGAAACTGGCTACTTTGCAATCTCTCTACCATCAAGAAGAATGGATATTTCTCTCTCATATCTAATTAGAGGCTTTATCACATTACTCAGGTGACTTTATTCAGGCAGAACAATAAGTAACCAACAGAGTAACGGATATGGGCGCAGCTGCCAGGCAGCTCATTTCCAGAAAGCCTACGTCAGTAGGCTTTTTATGCAGGTTCATTGTATTTTCTCATGTGTTTTCTTCTTTTTTACTTTACCGTATTTTTAATTTTAGTTCCTTAATTTAAACAGGTTTTTAATTCAGATAGAATTTGGATTTTTTTTCCTTTTGTTTACTTGTTTCATGTAAAAAACCCCTCTCAAATTCTTCCGTTATGTGTCACTTGTTTAATTTCTGTATTGTGTCTTTTAATACTAGCTTTGAATGTTTTCCTGCCGATTCTCATTATCTAATACAACAGGTGTTTTAAATATGTGAGGCTTTTGGTCTTATGATGGGCTGCAACTGTTTTGTTAGTCTGTAGTCCCATTGCCTTGGAGTCTTCCTCTAGAGATAGTTGTCTCTGCAATACTCAGATTTCCAGTTTTTCCGTTCTCTTTGGTGTCACTCTAGAATTCATGATTGGTTGCTGTTCCATACAGTCTGTTTCTGTGTATGAGGATCTCAGACTGTCTGTTCCATATACAGATGTTCTTCACTTAATTTTCTAACACTGCACCAGAGAAGTGGTGTTTTTTTCTGAAAATTAGATGTGTCGTGGCCCTCTTTTCCTCCCTCCAACAGTAACAATATTACTCCTTGTTGCTTTGTCCCTTCTTCTTTATGTTTCTCCAAAAGTCTATCACTAGATCTACCACTTTCTGTTCATTTATTCCCCTTGAGGTCTTTGCCTGTTTTCCACTATTTTCTGTCTACTTCCCTCCCTTGTTAGAACCTGTGCTACATCTGTGAGAGGCAAAGTATTACCAAAGGGTTTGATCCAGAAAATACTTAATGGGAGCATGGCAAATGCTTGAGATCAGTACTCAAGTATCCCATATTTAAACCATGTGTTTAAATTGTTTACTGGAATAGGAAACAGGCATGTCTCTCTCAGCCTTGTATGCTTTTCTGTCTTCTCTTTTCATGGTTGATATTGAAATACCTTCTTGTGTCCCCCTGAGCTGTTCTGTATGGAAGGGGTAGAGTGCTTACAGTGAAGAGAGTTCAGTGACAGATCAGATGGTTTAAGTGCATTCACTGATGTCTAGATTTCCTCCATTCTGTACAAAAAGCATTAGAATAATAGGATGTATAAAGGCCAGCATGTTAACTTTCTGATATAAAATTAATTGAGGGAACTTACTCAACCTTATAAGCAGACTAATACCATCCTGAACCCTAATTAAAAACATGTGTAGTCCCTTTTAAATAGGGAATTGCTTTCCTTGTTGGATGTTATGAGCAGCAAGCAGTGCAGCTTTATTGACTCATCCATACTTGTAAGCACAATACAATCAGCTATTACAATCTTTCTCCTTTTGTTAATATCACTTGAATTCTTTCATAGATTTGCTTGATTTGAAACCGGCCCCAAACAATGGAACTCATGGACGCCTAAACCATCTATTAAGGAACCCTGTTTATACCCCCCACCATCCCAAAGAAACAAGCCATCCTTCTGAATGCTCTGTGGTGGGTCAAAGAGCCTTTTCAGTGAGCCTTGGCTGCTCCTGCAGGACAGCAGTAAGTACTGAAGTGGTCTAAGTCGTAGAGGCAGAAGTCTGTGTCGTATTCAAAGAATGAAGCTCTGCATTCTCCAGATATGTTTCACAGTTCCTTACTATTCATTTTAAAATCAAATCTTGCTCGGAGTTAGAGGGTACTAGCCTGTATTGGTGTATTAATTTTTGCAGTTTGCTTATGTAAAGTCATATTCACCTCTGAAAAACATGGAAAAATGTCACAGAATCTTGATGGGGAAAGCATTCAGTTCTTGCTCACTTCATTTAGTTATGTTGAAATTTCTGTTCTGTGTTTGGGCTGTGGTTTTCAAGTCTGTTAGATATGCTTGTGGCAAAACCCCTTTGTTTCTGCAAATTCCCTGTAGCTCCTTTGCAAGTACATGTCAGTGAGTTCTGTATACATGTGACTTGCAAGACAGAAGTTACATGCAGTACTTTAGGTGTAGTACCAACTCAAGATATTCTTTATAGAATACTTTGTAGAATCTCACTGCTTTTGCTTTATGATTTTAGGGCTTGCCAATAAGGGATTTTAATCAGCGTTTAAATCTCACTGAAGCAGAAGGTAAGAACTTAGATGATAATAATATAAGTTAAAAATTTAACAATTTATTAGACATCAAACATCTTGTATTTTTAAACTTCTGAGCAACTCTCATGTAAATGATGTAAAAATTCTTTGAAATACCCATTAGATCTATAGTCCTGCCTGGAGAATTTGTTGATGCCCCATCCCTGGAAGTGTTCAAGGCCAGGCTGGATGAGGCTTTGAACAACCTGTTCTAGTGAAGGATGTCCTCGCCCTTGACAGCAGGGTTGGAACTACATGATCTTTATGGTCTCTTCCAACCCAAATCATTCTATGGTTCCAATGTTTTTGAATATAGTCCTACTGAACAATTTGTTCTCAAATAAATGCGTGTCCTTATACATGTGTCTTTATGGCATATGTATAATCTGATACTTTTGACTTTTCCAGCACTGAAGTAATGAGCATTCCAGAATGGGAAGCTAAAATGGTGTAAGTGGAAATACCTGATAAGAAATCAATGCAAATACTGACATCATAGTAGCAGCATACTTTTAGTGAAAATACATTTGAAAATCCAGCCACTGCTTCACTGTATTTTTTATTTAGATCTCTGTATTTCTTAGTCCTTTAAATGTCACTTTTACATACGACTTTATGGTTTCTACTATAATCGGTAATTTCAAATCATGAGAATTGGTTTTTCTCTCATCTAAATATTACATAGAAGCAGATCCCACATTATATATTTAAATTGAAACAGAAAGTCAACAAATACCTTAACTTAGCAACTTAGATTAACCTTCTGTTTTAGATGGCAAAACATTTTGGTTTAAATATAAGCTTTATTTGTGCAATGTATGTTTAAATTATTACTTTATACTGTCTTTGTCACTTTTGCCTTAGCATAGAAACTGTGTCTTGGATATAAGGACAAAAGTTTTTTGTTCTGTTACTGTGACTTCTCTGTTTGGCAATTTAAAATTAAAGTAACCCAAGGTGTATAAAAGAGGAAGATACTTAACAACCAGTATTATTTGAAAAGTAATAAGCATTATTTTGGTTGCAGTTAAGAAGACAGAGAAACTTACTTTACCCTATGGACGGCCCAGGGTTCTGCAGAAAAGACAAAATTACTGCCTCCTTTACCATTCCCGCTATGTGAGTGGATACAGCAAGGACTACAGGATGTCTCTGTGGAGTGCATACACTGTGAGCAAAGATGTAAGTATATGAAGAAAGGTTAGTAGCAACCTTGAGAAGTAAAATGCTTGAATGTCAGTTATTCCCAAATGCTCCTTAGATCTGTGTGTGCTGTGAGTTACCATGGTGGTGGAGTCACCATCCCTGGAGGTGGTCAGGAAATGACTGGATGTGACACTTAGTGCCATGGTGTGGTTGACAAGGTGGTGATTGGTCAACAGTTGGTCTTGATGATTCTAGAGGTGTTTTCCAACCTCAACGATTCCGTAATATTACCTCCAGGGAACTAAGTCAAACCACATATGATATAAAGAGAAACTTTGTGAGAGTTTCTCTTCACTATGCTGATAAGGATTGGCTTTGGCTCTTTTTCATTTCTTAGAGTGTAACAGTTTTGCCTCCAGAGTGAGCAGATCCACTAGGAAGTGAGGAGTCCATTGGCATTGATATAGAACTCCCGTGAGTCTGCATTGGCTTACTGCTTGGCAGAGTAGGTCTGCCATAGCAGTCTCTGAGTGCTATCTTGAAACTCTGGTCTCAACATGGGTTTCATGGTCAGTGTTTGTAATGTGGCAGGATCCTTTTGAAAAAGTAATCTCTGGACTGTCTTGAAGTGTTCATGCCTTGATATGATCCTTCTCTCAGAATATAATCCTAATTGGGGAAAAAAAGAGGTTGGTGGAAATAAATCAGGTCTTTGCTGTCCTGAAACCTATGCTAAGATACACCTGTTCATGCAGAGCACTGATCTGGTGAATGGAAGTTTTTTCAAATTGGCCTTTCCTATTCAGAAGTGATTTAGAAGCTATATCATGCTTAGGAGGAATTAGGATTGTAGAGGATGCTTTTTAATTTGATTATCTGGTAATCATAGGTCTTAAATAATGACTGTTATAATTAAATTTAGCTAAATTCTGTCAAGGTTTGCTTGATCCTAAATATTTTGAGGTTAGTTTCATGAGCCAACTAGTTACTGTAACAAGTGGCCCGCACATCTGTCTGATGAACAAGTACATTTGCTGTAAATCAGGTTATCTTTAATAGACACCTAGATTCTTTTTTGGAAAACGCTATTCTCAATTTGACTAAAATGCTGCAGTTCTGGTCACTTTATTTCCAAGATCTATGAAGTGGATGGAAGGGCTCGTTTTCCGCTGACAGAAGAGGAAAATTTCTTGTGTCTTGCTCAAGTCCCTTCACACTCTTAAAGGCAGTTGCAGCTAAATATTTAGAGTTCTGCAGTCCTTCATACCAAGAGAATTATTGTAAGTCAGCTTTTAACAATGATACTTTCCTCTTGTTCAATAGGACAAATGGGTTTCTGCTACAGAAGATACCTTCAGCTGTTTACACAAAGATGTTCGTATTTCACAGAACCATAACCAGACATGTTTGTTTTACAACAGTCATCCTCACCTCACTTACGGTTTTCTTACTCCTCCAAGTAAGTAGGTTGCCTTCATTACACAGAATATCTCATTTAAATAATTTGTAATGTAGCAGATATAGTGTTTTGTAGATGTTCTTGATCACTAATCAGAGTATGAAGCAGTAGTTGCTGAGTTGTTGAAGTTCACTTCAGCATACGAGAAAGAAGAACATTTTAAGTGCTTAAGCATCCAATGGGTTGTCCAAGGTCACGTAGTACTTCCCAGAAGTTTTGAAACTTATCAGGTTTCTAAACTGGCATCTCATAGAAGAAACTGGAAGGAACATGTAAAGATCAAGTAAAGTCTAACAAGCCAGTGAATTGCAAATTCACTTTGTATGACAGATGTTAGTTTGAACTAACCAAAGTAAAATTTGAGGATGTTTCATGAAGTAAAAAATGTCCTAGATAAGTTTATTTTCTATTTGAAATATACTCTTGTGTGCCATATGTGGTCTTTAGTGTAGACATTCCGCATTGGTATGAAGAAAATAGTTCTGATTCTCAAATATATTACAAAATACTTAGCTCTTTTTAAGTGGATAAATTGTTTGTGAACTGTCGTTGATGTGATGTGGAAACCTTTTATCTTAACTGTGTAGAGTACCAAGTAGTAGGTTATTGAAACATCTGCATCAAATGGAAATTGCAAAGTTCCACTAGAACTCCTGTCTTTAGGCATAGATTCTGCACTCAGGGCAGTTGGTCTGACATTTGTGAATTTTATTCCGTTCCCCACAATTCAGAAGCCTATTCTGATATTTTTAAATCTCACAAAAATTCACTAATTGTATCTCTCAGAAGTGCAATTACTGCTGCTAGTAAGATTATTTATTTTAGATGGAGTCCAGTATGTACTGAAGTTAGCACTTAGACCCACATAAGGTTTGGAAAGTGAAGTTAGATGAGCTCGATCTTAATGTTATTACACCCTTCATTAAAAGCATGAGAATGCAAGTAATTAATTGCCCTTTTTGTTTCAGATTTTATGACAGATGCAAAGAGCCCTCATTATGATGCTTTGCTTACCAGCAACATTGTGCCAATGTATCCTGCATTTAAAGGTATTTTATTTGTACACATATTTTATGTGCACAGTTGAATATAAGAAAGACTGCGGATTTTTTTGGATTGTTTCCAAACCATGCAAATGTTCCCTGGTTAAGCTGCCTCTGTTAAAATAAGAATTCCTGTGATTTTCACATAACTCAGTTAAAAGTTCCTTGAAGTAGGATTATCGTTCCTGTGAAAAAGACCCACTGTCATGAGCTAATGATTCCTAATCAGCTAGCTCATTACGTGGGAGTAAAGTGACTTCATTTAATCTCTAACATTTTTTTTTTGTTTTCCTATGCACCTAAGTAGATTTTTATATCAAATTTGTTCTAGAGAATCCAGATACCATATATATAGTTATGGGAGTTATATTGAGTTTCATTTTATGCTCTCAATCACTAAGGAAACAGGAAAGTATTCATGTGTCCAGTAGAAAAGTTATCAAGACCTGGACTTTCCTGGGAAAGAACAAACATGAGATGGCTGGCTGAGAGAGATGAAGCATATTCCAGGGGTGAAAGAGAAGGCACTTATGGACAAAAGAGATACTCTGCTTTGTAATGAAATATTGTTCAAGTGTTAATTGTAATTAAAAATATTATATAGATTAGATATTTACCAGCTTATAAGTGTGGGTGTACGAGCTAGCCAGGCCAACTTGATAGTGAGGCAAGACACAGGCAGACATGGTCTTCTCTGGTCTTTCGTCATCTAGTCTTTCCATGTTTTGGTTTCCAAGGAAAGGAAGCCAAAGCCACAAGGGAGCAGCACCACTATGCCTCAGTCAGGTTTGTGGGTAGGGTGACTGTGAAACCACAATGCCAGGAGATACTGCAGTCCATGCTGCTGTCCAGTTAGATGCAACCTTTAAAAACTGAACACCTGTAGAAGTTATTATTTTCCTAGCTTGTATGCCAGTTTATACTCCACTGAATACTCTGCAGAGTTTTATTAGCAGCGTCTATCTTGGAGATTATTTCACTCTTCCCTTACTGTGTTTCAGTGTTATGGAACTACTTCCATCAATACCTGCTACCTGAACATGCTGCAACCAGGAATGGTGTCAATGTAGTCAGTGGTCCTGTGTTTGATTATGACTCTGATGGGCTCTATGATACCCCAGAAAAGTTGAAAAGGTGAGAACCTTTCCCATTCTAATCCTATGTTTCTTTATTCCATTAGAGGTCTAAAAGTATCAAAAGTGGTCTAACAAGTATCCTCATTATGAAGGAAATCTTGTGGAGATGGGCCCTTGGCAGGTTATATCAGTTCAGAGAGACAGAGAGATGGCTCTAAGCAGATGCAGAAGAGTAAAGTTAAGAAAGAAGCAACAAGTACAGAAAGAAAATGCACCTCTGAAGTGTGTCATCCTAAAACCTGAAGGTGAAGTGTAAGAGAAGCTGTTGCATGTGGAAGAATGTCCACTAGCCTGAAAACTTAGGACATTGTCTCTGGGAGAGGACGAGGCAAGGACTTAATCCCTAGTGGCATAGTTTCTGAGCTAACAGTGTTCCACTACAAGCTGTGAGTTATGCTAGTTAGGAAAATTGGTTCAAGCCAGCAGACAAATGGGCTTGGGCTGAACTCTTCATCAACTCTTCAGTTTTACACATATTTATGACAAATCAGTTTGTTGTTATACCTCATCAAACTTGTTATGTGCCTACAAGACAAACTTGATTTGCAGAATAGTAATCTGGAGTTCTCCTTCCAGACCTAATCTGTCTTTGGGAAAAATAGGTGAATTGCTAAAATTGATATGCCAGAATACAGCTGATTGCTGTCATTTGTTCTTTGTGCAAGTGTGATTTGATGGATTTACAGAAAGATCTTTTGTATTTCAGATACCCTGGTAACTCAGAAGTTCTAGTTCCAACCCACTTCTTCATTGTGCTGACTAGCTGTAAAAACATTTCTGAAACTCCTCTGGAGTGTGAAGGGTCTCTGGATGCCTTGTCTTTCATTGTACCTCACAGAGAAGATAACAGTGAAAGCTGTGCAGTAAGTAGTCTCTACAGTCCTCATGAACATCTGAAGTCAGGCTTGAGCTTGTTTTGCTTGGATATGTGATTAACTACTTAAGGCCTGTAGGAATGGTACAGCCTATCACGATCATCTTGAGAGAGAGAAGACAATATTTTTGTAAACAAAATGATGTTAAAGTCTCTCTGTATGCTTAGATGTGAAAATAAAAGTTCCCTGTTTAACAAGAAAAACTTAGAGCTAGCAGGGTGAAGTCAGAGTATACCAAGAGAATCGAAGTGAAACATACATAGACTTCTGTAATGCAGTTATCCAGTCAACAGCTGAGAAGGATGCAGAGCTTCTAGGAGGGATCACCCACAATGAAAGGTCAGTGCTAAGGCATATGCATTCCCAAAAGAAAACACAGATGTTCCTGGAGAGTATTGATTGCTACTAGCTGAGGCACCTTGGTATTGTGATGGGAAGGCACATAGCTCCACTCCATATATACCAAAAAAGAAGTGTGGAAAGTGTATAGACATATCCTGCAGCAAGGGGTTACAGAAGTCACTACTCAAGTCAGGCACAGCTCTCAGAAATAGTTTTATTAAAGAGATGGTGGATAGATCTGGTGTAGCTACAAGTTTTGTATACTTGAAGTAACAGCAAATCCTGAATTCGGACAAGCTTGTAAATTTTTTATAATCCTGCACACTCTGTTAGATGTTTGGCAACAGTTACTGCTTTCTGTCTTTATAAAACATCAAAATTTGTTTTGTTAATAGTTTAAATGCATATCAGGAAAAAATTTTTACAACTTCTTTCCCTCCCCTCCCCTTTTGTCCCAATAGGATGGCAGGTCTGAGTCCATGTGGGTTGAAGAGAGAATGAAATTTCATACAGCTCGGATCAGAGATATAGAATTAATTACGGGACTCAGCTTCTATCAAGACAGAAACCAACCAGTATCTGAGATTTTACAGTTAAAAACATATTTACCAACTTTTGAGTCGGTCTGATTTTTCCTATGGAATGTTATTATCCGTTTCACAACTGTTTTGTAAATAGACTGTTTTTAATTAATGAAAACATTTTTTTAAATAAGCTGGAACATTTATTGAGAACTCTTGACCAAAATGCCAGTAGGGAGGAGAGTGGGTGCCATATTTGTATCTCAGGGACTCCTGATGGACTATTCTTGTGACACAGGATGGCAGCTCCTGTCATTCCCACTTGAATGTGGTAGAGCCTTATCCGTTACTATGCTAACAGCATTTGGTCATCACAGTCTGAGACATGAACACAAATGTTATCTTTGATGTGCACTGGAGAGGGAGAAGTTTATAAAGCATGGGTTATGATCAATATGCTACTTTTTAAAAATACAGATAACTAGCAAACACAGTTCTGGTAAAGAACTACATTCTTTGTGACCATTGAAATCTGAACAACAGCACTTCTCACTGCAATTTTCCTTGAAACGTGAATTACATTCCGAATTTTGGGTCTCACAAAATAGTGCAGCGTTACGGTGCAAGAAGCTATAGTTTGGTTAGTACGACTGGTAACCAAAACTTCCCCCGGCACGGAAAAGTCTCCTGGCTACAGGAATGCTGTGGGCTGGGAAGCCATGGTGTGTTGGTGCCCTCTGGTGACTCCAACACAGGCGGAGAATTTGATGCACAATTTGCATGTTGTACCGGCATCCTCTGACCAAGCGGTATAGGATGCATTAAAAATGAAAATAAATGTAAATGAAAAGAAATTGATTCAGGGATATCTATGAACTTCTAGAAATAATTACCTTACTTCAAACTAAACTTGAATTTGATGAAAAGATTTTGCTTTATTGAAGCAAAGATGTGTTTCTTAGTTTGGTACATGATTTTGTGAGCTGTGGTTTTGAAATCCCATTTTTGAATGCAGAGACGATGTCAGAGATGCAAACTCTGAAGAAGCATGTAATGAGCTTTCTTGGAAACTTTCAGGCTACACAAACAGCTGCTACAGGCACTCAGGAGTGTAGGAATTCCCTCCTTTTCCAGTACATAAGCTGTTACCTTTGTAAGTCTCCCACTTTCTAAATGACCCAACACTGGCTCTGTTGTGTTATGAAATTTGGCATAGTCAATTACACATTTATGTTGTTCTCACTTAAAAAGAAAATATGTCACGCACAAGTATGTCAGAAGAATGAAGAGCCTGTGACTGAGCAGAGAGACATTTTACCTTACAGCTTGGTCAGGGCATGTTGAAGGCTGGATTCAGAGCCTGCTGAAGTCAGAGGAAGTTTTTCCATTAACTTCAGTTTGAGCGGGCCGAAATTCTGGGACCATTTTTCTTTTAACCAAATGTATTTTCTTGATCTTATGTTACAACTATGATTTTCTTTTTCCTAACATAGTTTCACTGTGTGAAATCCAAATGTGTTGTAGCAACCTCACATTATGATAGGACTGTGACAGCATTATTCAGTGTAACTGCTTTGTAACATTGCCTGTGACCAATAAAATTGTTGAAAGTAGTATGCTGTTTGTGATCCTTTCCATACCAAATGCTACTGACTGGTGTAGATATAGAGCACTATTTCACATTATTTTTTGGGTGTGGAAAGGGGGTTGCTTCAGTCCTTGCTCTGTGATTTGTGGACAATTTCCAGAAAGATTGTCAAATATTATTATTTTTTTTTTTAAGAACAAGTATTGTCTCCTGAATGCAAATAGAGGAGATGTTGACATCTTGAGAAAGTGAAGTGATGGCAGTTTGAATTAAAAGGCAGGGCCTAGCTCCTGGGTAAAAAGGGGGACAGTGTAGGCTTCAAGCAGATGACTGCTATTTTGACCTGGGGAGGATTTTGGAATGAAAAGCAGTTGTGAAAGCTACTATGGTCATCAAGAGAGGTTTGGGATGTGGCTTTGTCAGAAAATGACAAGTTAACTTGACAAGGAAGAGAGTTACCCTGATTTAATTGTAGTGTAAGTAGTTTTGCTCATTTAATTTCTTCATTTTTGATTTTTAAAAATATTTATAAGGGTGGTGTCAGAGCATATGAGTAAATGTTAGTGCTAGTCCTGGTATCCAGTGGCTGGTGATACCCCAGGATGGCAGATGCTGGGTTGTGTTTTTGAAGGCCAATGGGCCTTAAGGAGCAATGCTACAGCCACCATCAAACACAGTTCTGAAAAAACCTGCAGCTTTGTCCATCTAGATGTAAAATGTTTCCTGTTTTCAGCTGATATATTTTATCAGAGCTCCACAAAGCCTTCTCAGTAGGTGAGGGTGGAAGGTGTCATAGCAACAGTGTTGTGACTTAACTGTCAGTGTTATTTAATGTAAGTTCTTCTTTGCTGCGTAGCCTGGCCTTCTTTCATGTGAAAAAGACAGTGGGGGGGGCAGAATACAGGTCATCGGTTTGGATGTGCCTAGTAGTGTCATGTGTCACCAGACCTTCTCAGAGGTGGCACCAGGAGATGCTGCAGCTGGTGCCCACTGATAGCAGGGAAGGTGCTGGTCTGTCTCCATCTCCTAAGGAATGATGTTTTATTAGGATAAGGAAAGGATGTTTGAGGAGAGGGGTGGTAGCAGCCTTCAAAGATTGTAAAGATTTTCCAGGGTAGACAGAGCTAATCTGGTCCTTGCGACATTATGCTCAGGGAGAATGGAAGAATGGCTTGAAGTTACCATACGGAACATCCATTGTAGGTATGGGCTGTCTAACTGTGTGATGAGATAAGCAGTGGGGTGGACTGGTTAGGGAATGAAATGTGTCATGAAATGCAGGCAAGCAAGCCTTAAAGTACCTGAGAAGCTGATGGCTCTGGGATGGTGAGGTAGGAATGAGCAGTTGGGAAAAGGACACCTCAGGATGGTTTTGCTGCTGAAAAAAAGTACATATGGAGTTGTGCCTTCAGAGGTATTCAGATGGTACAGATTTCTATCACTGGTTGCTGCCATCAGTAACTGCGAGGTAATTTGCTTTACTAATGTGTTGTAGGTTTCTTGCTCTTGTTTGCCTCAGGATCCAGTGTGTTTTAATAAAATGAAGTAATATCTAACTGCCTGTGTTTCAGACATGCCTGTTCTGGTAAATCTCTTCTTGACACAGCCAGCATCCTCTAAACCACAGTGTTCAGCCCAGTACACAACAGGCATCTGCTAATGGCACCTGCCAGAGGCTGCCCTGTGTCATCCAGCGAGTGGGTGGCCTGGGCTCCTGCTTTTCCTTAATCTGAGAAGATTCAAAGTACAAAATTATCCCCTTAAATACAAGGTTATAAACCATACTTGGCAAGCTGGGAGGAGCTAGCTCTCTGCTGCATGGGAGAACACCCACTTTTCCAGGAAAAGGAGATTCATGGGGACCAGAAGATAAAAAAGAATATAAAGGAAAGCCTAAATCTGTGACTGTGGTTAGGATGCTCATCTAGGAGCAAAGATTGCATTTCTGACCTCCCGTCTTCCAAAATCTGCTGCAAATCTCAAGCCTATTGCTGAAGAGGTATGTATGCCAGGATGAGTTGTCCATTGTACTACTCCAAAGTGGATGCTCAGTGGTAAGAGCACTGTGAGGAACTTCTACTGCAGGTCGCAGGGCAGCTGCTCTAACACTGTGCCCACAGTGGCCCCACTAATGAGTTCAGGAAACCAGCCTGAGGCTCATGGCAGGGTCTATATTCAGTGCTTTTACTACTGTGCTGTGGTAAACTGTTTTTACCCTTCTGAGGAGTAGAGGGACAGAGTCAGTATGAGTTCAGCAACTTACTAAAGCAGAAGTTTCCAAAGAATTTTGTTTGTTTGCCAGCAGCAGCAACATCTCTTACTTACCCTTGTATACCCTGTGGCACTGTCTGGGAGGTTTTGGAGCACCACGCTAAGGTGGCTTGTGTACCATGAGTGGTGTCTGCCATAGCTTGGGAACCTCTGTATTACAGGAAACCAATCCAGGTTTGGCATCCTGTGACTCAGACTCCTTTGGAAAGAAGTCGAGTCCTTCAGTGAACCACTGTGAGTCACCACACCGGCCTCAAGCCTCAGGAAAGGCTGCTATGGAGACCATGGACAAACTTGGAATAATTATGGAAGCCTGGCAACAGATTTTGGAGGATACCATTGCAAATTATTGTATTTCTCCTCAGCCACAACATGTGTTATATTTGTGTTGCCATTTATTGCAGGTTTAGACCTTCCTATTTTTAGTTTACCAAAGTAAAACAAATACAGAGGAAGGGAAGTATTTTGAGCCACCCCACTGCATCTGCACTGATCTCCCCCTGATCAGAAGACAGCAAGACTGCTGTTTGGTCATGTCCATAAGAATCATATGCATGGCTGAAAGTCATAGAATTATAGAATTATTTGGGTCGGAAAAGACCTCTAAGATCTAAGACCATTAACCCAACAATTAACCCACCATGAAACCATGTCATTAAGTGCCACATCCATGTCTTCTAAATAGCTCCAAGGATGGTGATTCAACCACTTCCCTGGGCAGCCTGTTCTGATGCTTGACAACCCCTTCTGTGAAGAAATTTTTCCAGTATCCAAACTAAACTTCCCCTGGTACAACTTGAGGCTGTTTTCCCCTCATCCTGTCACTTGTTACCTGGGAGAAGAGACCAACACCCACCTGGCTACAATCTCCTTTCAGGTAGCTGTAGAGAGCAATAAGGTCACCCCTGAGCTTCCTTTTCTTCAGGCTCAACAACTCCAGCTCCCTCATATGCTCCTCTTAACACCTGTGCTCCTGACCCATCACCAGCTTTGTTGCCCTTCTCTGGACACCATTCAGCAACTCAATGTCTGTCTTGTAGTGAGGGGCCCAGAACTGGACACAGAATTCAAGATGTGGCCTCACCAGTGCTGAGTACAGGGGGACAATCACTGCCCTAGTCCTGCTGGCCACACTATTGCTGATACAGGCTAGGATGCCCTTGGCCCTCTTGGCCACCTGGGGACACTGCTGGCTCATGTTCAGCTACTGCTGATCAGCACAGCTGCCTGATCTGCTGTCAGGCAGCTGACAGGCAGCTTTCCAGCCACTCTGCCCTAAGACTGGAGGATTACATAGGGTTGTTGTGACCTAAGTGCAGGAACCAGCACTTCACTTTATTGAACGTCATACAGTTGGCTTTGGCCCATCAAATCCCTCTGCAGAGCCTTCCTGCACTCCAGCAGATCAACACTCCTGCTCAGCCTGGTATCATCTGTGAACTGACTGAGGATCCTTTGACCCCCTTGTGCAAGTCATCAATGAAAATGTTAAACTGGACTGGTCCTAGTACTGAGCCCTGGGAAACCGCAGCGCTGCCAGCCCTCATGACTGGCTGCCAGCTGGGTGCAACTCCGTTCACCACTACTCTCTGGGCTCAGCTGTCCAGCCAGTTTTTCACCCAGTGAACAGTACACCTGTTGAAGCCATGAGCAGCCAGTTTCTCCAAGAGAATGCTGTGGAAAATGGTGTCAAAAGTTTTACTAAAGTTTAGATAGACTACATCCACAGGCTTTCCCTCCTCCAGGAACCTCCCTGGACAGGTTCCCTTGTCATAAAAGACCAAATTGGTCAAGCAGGATCTGCCTTTCATAAACCCGTGCTAACTGGGCCCAATCCTCTGGTTGTTCTGCATGTGCCATCATCACTCAAGATGATCTGCTCCATGAGCTTCCCTGGCACCAGGATCAGGCTGACAGGCATGTAGATCCCTGGATCCTCCTTCCAGCCCTTCTTGTAGATGTGTGTCACATTTGCTAACTTCTAATCTAGTTGGTAGGAGTCTCTGTGTTTATGGTATCCTGGCAAAACTGCACTTCAGCACCAGCCTCTCTATGTGGCTTGACAGAGAGTTTAAGTCTCTTCAAATCCCTGTGCTGGATGCCTTAACTTTGCCATCCTGTATCTGTGCCAGAGATCAGAATTTCTGTGTGGCAAAAAGTGTGCTTCTCAAGGATAATGAATTCATTTTTAAATCTTGCACCTCCTGGCTGCAGAAGATGGCACAACCCACTGTAAAAAATTAATAATGCTCTTTGTTACAGTGCTGTTACTAGGTCTAAAATTGCACTTAGCCTTTTTACACCAGAGAAAGGAATGATGTACACTTGCTTCTCCTGTTAAAAATAAATTGCTTATGGAAATGCAAAGTTTGATAATCAAGTATGGATACATTTTACTTTGAAAAAATAGTGAACAAAGCTGCATTTACGAGTGATATCTGGCCCTCTTCTGGCCTGATCCGGGATAACTGCTTAACAATCTGTTTTGTTCAGTGTACATTTTCTAATGAAATATGTCCCCAGGACAGTAGAAATCCAGGCAAACCACATGAAAAATAATGGGCTTTCCTAGGCTGTTTATGAAGTACTTCCCATTCTTGTAATTAGGTAAACCAGTACAGCTTTTAGAATAGGGAAACCTGAATTAATGAGGTGCAGTGAATCAAAATGCTGCAAAGGAACGTTATGCTATGACTTTATATCTCTGAGGAATTTTTTTCTTATAAATTGGTGTATATCCTGTGTATCAAACAT